TGGATGTTATGGATGAGATGATAAACTTTAAGAGCACAGCTACCTCCCACGTAGCTTTTATAGTTAACTGTTGGAGCTTGAACAGTTGCTTTTATATGAACCACTTCTCATTTCAGAGGGCTGAAAATGTTAAATAAAACAGACTTGCCCTTTCCAATAGGTAGTAGCATCTCACTGATCTAATTGATCTATGTAGTTCATTCTTTCACTGAGATACCTTTACAGGCAAACTGGGCTCCAGTTCCCTTCTCCTGCTGCTCATTTCTGGTGTGAAAAGGGCTGCGGATAGGGTAAAACCCACGCATCCACCTTGTGAACAATGCTGTCATGTAGTTGACACAGCAGAAATATTTGTTTAATTACTTACATTTTCAGCTTTTAAATGAGAAGAAAAAACAAGCCATGGGTGGTCTGTAACCTCAGAAGAGCAAATATCCTGGGCTGTAAAATCACTGCAGCTCAGAATACTGGGTTGGACATAAAAAAACCATTTATTGAATCCTAGGCCTGAGTCAGGAACAGAAGGTGCATTAAGAGCTTCCAAACTGCAGCCTACCACCAATTCATTAAGTGTTCGGCATTATTTAATAAAAATGGCTTATGCATATACTTTAACTAAAATGCTATTTATACATAAACCTTTTTAACTAGAGTAACTGTTGGGACTTATTCACACACCAATTCAGAGACAGTTTCAAATTCTTCTTTCAAGTAAATGCATGCAATTCTCATTGCTGTCTGCCTCACCTAGGCTATAGCAGAACTTGTCCTGTATTCTGCAATTAAACCAAGGATCTCAGTTGGTTTATAAAGACTAGGATGTGTTGTTGTCGTCAAAGTCTTGGTAACACGTGAACATTACAGAAGTGAGAAAACTGCTGTTATTTGTGTAATAACATGTATGTAATTCTACCATCCGTATGCCTGAACCTCAAATTTCAACATATTTTTGAAAATAATCCTCTTTTTGGGGCTATCTAATCAGAGAAGTCAGTCTCCTGGTAGGTGTGAAATAAAATGATCAGGCTTTCTACAGAACTACAGAATGTTTCTTGAAAAAGGAAATCATGGCACTGCTGTATGCTGAAAGGAGGGCTGAGCAGATCTGATGCTTCAGTCCACAGTTCTTCGGGTTACATTAATGTGACAGTAACTGCTTATAGGCTCTGAAAGTGGTGACCAAGCAAACTAATAATATTTGCTAATGGACTCAGGCAGCTGTTGCAATAGGATGTTGCAATGAGACACTTTAGACAAGGGAACATGACCATTTTTAGCCCCATCCTATGCAGCTAATACCTACCCAAATATTTCTAAGATGCTTTCTCAGAATATCTCTGCCACTCTTATTTTTGATGGTGTCTAGTTAAAAGGTGCTTAAGAAAGCTTCTTCCTTCACACACGAGATTCCTGGAGGAGTCAGAGAAACTGCATTTTCCATGCTTTCCTGCTCACCCACAAGGCACAGGTTCTTCCACCTACCCTATTTCCACAGCATAACACCCATGCAGAAACAACAGCAATTTCTGACTTCAGAAAGACATACCCAGAACATATTTTTCTCTTTTCTGTGTGATTTCACAGCTGGAGATGAAGATGACCAACACCAACACTCTTTGACCTGTTACTCCTCCAAGGGCCGTATGTGCTCTCCATCTGGCAACTGGACAGCTGCTGCTTTAGGACTTTGCCCTTTCTGTCCACTTTATCTTTCCTTCTGTCATCTGCTTATTTTCCATTTTTATGGTATTCTTTTTTGGTAGATAATAATGCCTTTGGGATTAGTGCTGGCAAGAGGCCAGGACAAAATGGCAGCGCTAATGACTTTTATTTGAGTTAGGGTCACTGAGAGATAATTTAGACCATGGACCTGGGGCCCCATTTTCCCATGACACTGAAAAAATCCACACAGAGAAGCAGAAAACTGAATGCTTCAAATCCAAACCTCCCTGAGTTCATCCTCTTGGGACACAGCAGAAAGGGATGAGGATTATATTTCAACACCCATAGACAGGACTTGAGATGGACTGCACCACCTACTATCTTTCCCCAGAGTTTCTGTTTTCAGGAGCAGAATGCAGAGAAAAATCCACCTCTGTCACCTCCCACCCACTCAGCTGAAGGCTCTCCCATCTCAAGCTTCCCTTGGAAGACATAGCCTTGCTTAGTGCGTGCCCAGGCCAAAATTGTCACTTTCTTCCCATGCTGCCAAAAGAAGCACTGTTAATGAGGTGTCCACTACCCACATATCTTTCAGAGAAGAAGGAAGTGGCCCTCAGTTTGGCTTTTTACTTTTCTCCATTGTTTAATGGATTTTTTTTCTTAAACCTGAAGGCTGCCCCAAAATGTTTCTCCTCCGAACATGGCAGCAGGACAATCAGTTAAGGGAACATGAAACATCTCTTTCCCACTGTCTAAAGTGGGGAAATGTAAAATTCATCATAAATGATGAAAAGCAAACTAGATAGACACTTAAAATTCACACACTGTCAATGAAGTAAAGCAGCTAATGTTTTTTGCTATGCTCAACCTGAGACTACCCCTCTTAAAGATGTCTTACTTTCCCCTTGGGTTAGGAGGCTGTGAGAAAGCAGACTGGGG